CAGATCTATGCAAGGGTTCAACGGCGACGACTACGACTCCAGGGCACTGGCGCTTAGGGGCAGGTGCCCGAAGACTTCCTGGCTGTCATCGATAAGGTCAAACCGGCTCCGGTTGGGAAGTGGCGACAATGACGTGTCGGCGGCTCGTTTGGCGGTCTTGAAATCTCAATGTAATTTTTATTATGTTTGAGATGCTTTGTACTTCCGTTGAGTTTTCATAATAGATCTGAATCATTTTCGCCAAAAAAAAAAACACCTCTTTTAGTATAAATCCCATTTAAGAGCGAATATGTATGTGACACCACTAGTAACAGAAAGTCTCGATTCAAAATTCCCCACGGAAAAAATATTGGATACTCGCGCCGAATTTGCACTAGAGCAGGTCCAAATATTTGCTACAAACAAAATGGAGACCTCCCTTGGCTATCTAATCCGACCTGGAGACGAACACGGGAACGCCGTCATGATCGAAAATGGAAGGTGTTGCGACCGACTCGTTGGAGTCGGATCCGTTTTCATCTCTAGTGTCTGATCTACTCCTACTATATATGCATACATCGCTTTGCCTTGCTGCCGAGTCGATCAGAATCAGATCAGGCACAAACAAGAAACAAGCAGCACGATGAGCGACGGCGATGGCGACTGCGACTGCAGCTGTCTTTGCTGCTGCTTGTGCGACGACCGCTCTCGGGGCTCCGCCCACACTCCCCACCGCTGCCTCCTCCTCCTCCTCCTCCTGGCTGCGATCCTCGTTGCGGCCTTCGCCTTTGTCCTCCACGTCCGCGCCGCCGTCGAGGACGCCTCCCTCGCCCGCCTGGCCCTCGCCGGCCCCAACGGCACCATGCTCTCCTACGACATCTCCCTTGCCGTCGCCGTGCACAACCGGAACTGGGCCATGCACGCCAGGGTTGGCGCGCCTCTCGACGCCGAGCTGCTCTTTGCCGGCGAGCGCTTCGCCAGCATCAGGATGCGGGGGAGATCGCACGGGTATATCCGGCCATGGAAGAAGGAGGTGTACAAGGTCGCGGCGTCGGGCGAGAGCGCCGCCCCACTCGGAAGCGTCGGGGTGGCAGAGTTTGTGAAGGAGAGCGCGGCGGCAGGCGTGTTCCGACTGCAGCTCAAGCTCGCCGGGGAGGTCAAGTACCCTCCACACGGCGACGCGCACAGGCTGGAGGCCACCTGCCCACTCGAGCTGCCTCTATCGTCGCCGGCCAGGTTCAAGAAGATCAAGTGCGTCTAGCCAATCATGCCTAGCTCCAGTTTTGTCCAGCAGCCAGCCAACGGCAGGGATGGATGCAGCCTCTCAACGAGCGTGCTGCATTAGCTTTTGCCTCATTAAGTTTCTTCAAGTGGTGCTTCACCCTCTCCATTCTTGTTGCTGACTGATGCCTGCAACAAGTTGCAGTAGGTTTATGAGAAGACAAAACATTTTCATGTTTAGAAATGCAGTTAATCTCAGTGGCAAAAAAATGTGCAAAAATGGTCAACTGTTTGTGACAGAGAAAAGAGAGCTTGTAACCACGCGTTTAGTTTTCAATGCTGCTTTCAACCATGTACAAATGTCACGCATGATGTTCGCATTTATTAGAATTTCACACAAGTTAAGAACACCGGCACCTAGACAAATGAAGAGCTGGCTCCATTTTAGTGAACTCAAATTTTAGGTCTGGATGACTTACGCGCCGCAAAGGGGCATAATATAATGGAATTCCTAACATAATGATGATTTATCACATTACCATTCCCATGGCAGCTAGCGTGCATACAAGCTATGTGAGATGGGATCAGGTAACATACATTGAGTTGGCAAACACTATTGTATTATACTTACCTACAATAAAGGTCGACATACAATACCTTCTTCTCAGCTCAAAATTTGCTGATCCGCCTCCAAAAACACGGACGTGCGTAGCACACCATTTCAGCACATCTTCTTCCTCTGGAAGAAAGAAAGAAAGAAATCATCGTGTATATTCAGTAAATTGAAAACTTTTGAGTTCAGGTGGTTTGGATTAGAGAAAGGGACGACAACTCCAGTGCCCTGCCATGTCTTACCTCTCTGCCTTTCAGGGAATAAAGGCTAGTTCTCTCAAGAAGCTCACACAGTAAGAAAAGAGGGGTTAATAGTAGTTTCTTTCTCTACTTACCACACTGAAAGAATGTATACTACCGGACCGTGGCAGTCAAGTTGGTGCCATGCTTGCTCTAAAATAAAGACTCTAAGTACAAAGGAGGCAAGGAACAAGCGCTCCCGAATCCGACTGATGTATGATGTGTCAAGTGCATACGTGTGATGGACTACATGAACCATTATCACCTTCTATGATGCTTTCCGTATCATTTTCCTTCTGCCCAGAGATCGAATACCAGCTAACTTCATGGTCTGCTTGGTGAAAATACTAAAATTCTTGCAACAAACCACACCTACTAAGCTGAAAATAGTTTTCTTTTTTGTAATGCATCAAAGAATTGCCATCAAGGAACGAAAGTATCAGTCTCATCAAGAGCTAGCAGCGACCAAAGTAGCATGCAACAGACTAAACAAAAAAAAAACTTAGCCACTAGTAAACTTAATACATGATGAAGGCAAGGTGCTGACAGTTGATGATAAAATACAGCTCCTGTTTTAACCCCGAAAATTATAACAATTGTCTCTATGGAGCAGATATGAACAACTCCAGATTCGTTCTATTGTCTCGCATTTGCACTATACATGTAACTCCACTGGTGGTTTGCAATTTGCATTGTTAACCATGCAACAATAAGTAGGACCATATAGTGTTCAGAAGCGAGAGAGAAAAGAAATCGGTCGTTCTTCCTCACCAATATGTCACCCTAAATTCTTCCTCTCATTTTCCGTGTCAGATCCGCACAACCAACATTTAGAGAAAATATTGAAGAAATTCCAGAAATAAGAACGATGCAATCAGCTAGCATTTGCAATTGGTATACATACATGCCTTCAGTACATTAGATACTAAAAATGCACACTTTAAATTATATGGTAAAACAATTTTATTCGCACTTTTATATTGACATTTCTCCTTCGCTGAACCTGTATGAAAATATGCCCACTTTAATAGACTGAATTGGACATTTATGAAAACTACAGAATAGCTTTTTGCTCAGAAACCTCTAATCATTGATGTTTTTTAAGATGAGAAAATTATTTCTCAACATAATTAGTTAACCCCAGTCCCAATGTTAGGAAAACTTAAGAACAAGTGTCATAGAGATGCCGCTGTGATAATAGAAAATACTGAGTTGTGGCTCTGAAGAGTCTGAAGCGAAGCGTCTATTAATGTTAGCCGTATTAGCTTCTGGCAGCCAAATATAGAAAATGCCGTGTTGGAGGGAATAAGTACAGCAAAAAAAAACTTTGTTATAAGGTTGCTGTTAACTTTCTGCTCTGATTCAAGTTAAAAAATTTAAACACATACTATAGCTTCAGACTTACTTGGGTGTAACCCATGAAGTCTGAAAGATTTGGAGTTAACAATCAACTCTGATTCAAATTCAGAATTCAGAGTAGAAAATTTACATCACACTTTCTGTTTACATGCATGCATGATTCGTTCTTTTTTTTCAAATATAAGCGCACGGAGCTCCAAGTATGGATTGATTAAAGCACAAGATGCTGCTATTTTGTTCAGTTTGCCTCACTAAGCTGAGCTGATGAATCCGACAGGCATGCGACAGCAACTCGTTAGCCACCATGTTACAATCTCTAGTATAATACTAGAAGGTTTACTTTAACTTGCAAAATTCAAAAAAGAGACAAGTAGGAGCTTCCCTGAATAAAACTTACACCAGCGTCAGGCCATACTTGTCACTGAATCTTCAGGGCATCATCAACTTACAGAGCCTGCAGAATCATGTATAGTGCATCAAAGCCAATGCCCACATGTTTCACGTCGTTTCCTGGGAAAGAAAGCAGCATCTACATCCAGTTTCAGCACATTTCAATTGCAAAAATTCAAATTCAGTAAATCAGTATGATCCTATTGCCCAGCCACTTTTTGCTTGAGGAAGAACTCCATATCTTCTCACCTGGTGGCTGGTGGTAAGTCACTTCATCAGCCAACCTGTTCACTTCGCCTACATTTCATTAATCTTGATTCTATAATTTCAACAAGCACCAGACAAGGGCGGCACACAGCTGATCGTTAAATGCTACTCAACAATGGCCTGCTTTCACAACAGTTAATATCTTATAAACAAAGCTACTCCAGGAAGAAGGAATATTTCAGCTTAGAAGAACTAAAGCAACCAACCAACCAACAAACTAGATCAAAACTGGATCTTCAACAGTGATCAGCACATCAACAAATCCAAAATTGCTTCCCAAGGAAAAAGAGGTTCAAAATTCTCATCCAAAGGGAAGGTTGAGACTTGATATCATCTTCATGGCCAAAATGAGACCATTCTTTCATGGAAATATTGATTGAGGATTGCATTCAAAACTGAAATGGCCATTTCAGAACATACAAACAGAGAGTGTGCAGAAATACTACTCATGGATACTTCAAAGAATTTGCAGAATACCCTGAACTCATACTCTCCTAGTTCCAATATGTGTGCAATATGACAAAGACAAGTTCATAGCAGTGCGATGCTTTCTTCTCTACTGAATGAATGACATAATGAACATACCAATTTTCTTATTACCCTTGGTTCATGTAAAACTGAATCTAGCTGGAACCTCCCTTATGAGGGCATATGAACCTCTCGACGAATACCTTGTCGCTGATCATGACTGCAGCATAGAAGTCCCTGTCTTGATCTAGCAATCCATTTTCCTTGAGAAATTTGACGACATAGTACCGGGGTCTGAGCCGGCCCTCCAAGCTGTATGTGAATATTGCCGGACGACAAGCAATATATGCCGGTTCCAACCCCACCTCGGAGATGAGGAACCCTGACCTAGGGTGCAGTGATTCCTTACTCTTCCTCAGCACAACTGGAGCCTTAGAAACAGCAATACCCACCTCGGCATCTGATCACCTGAACGTGTTCTTCAAGTAGTCCACTTTGGCGGTGATCTTCTCCTGGCTGAGAAGTGCGACAGCATGCAAGGCCCGTCTGAACATCCCAGAGCCACGTGGCACACCTATACCTTCGGCGCATGTCGCCATTGCCCGGAGGCGTTCCAGGTTGATGGCGGGCAGCCATCGCGAATGGATGCACAGCTTGGCAATAACGCAATTATCAAGCCTGCACTCCCGGAGGAAGGCGACGTTGGGCTTGACAACCTTGTCGAGGTCGCATCCGAGGAGATTGGGGTTGTGCTTGAGTACCCGGAACAGGTCACCGTTGGAACCGAAGACTGATAGGAAGTAGGATAGCTTCAAGGCGACAGATCTGCGGCGGAAGAACTCACCGGCGAGCGAGACCACGCGCGCGATCTCAGAACGCGAGAGGCCGAGGCCGGCGAGCCCGGCAACGACGGGGGCCAGGGTTCTCTCCACGCCGGCGCAGAGGAACTTGGGGTCCTTGGCGACGAGGGCGGCGACATCGGCGGTGGAGAGGCCGAGACCGGCGAGGAAGGAGAGCACCACGTCAGGCTTGGCGGGGGATTTGAGGTGGGAGAGCTTCGGAGAGGCCTTGGCGGCCTGTGGTCGGGTGAGGCCGCAGGTGGCGACGAGGTACTCCTCCGCCGCAAAGCTACTAGGGTTGGGGGAAACGGCGGAGATGAGGCGGTGGAGAAGGAGGGAGATGGTAGAGGCAGAGGAAGAAGGGAGCAGTTGGGTGAGGACATACTTGTGGAGGCGGAGCATGGTGTACTGCTGCCGGCGGCGGCGCGGTGGCGCCGGCGGCGAGGGACGGCTGGTGCGAGGGCGAGAGAGAGTGATGGGGATGGATTTGCGTGGTCTGGTTTGACCTTGATGCTGACCAAATGACCCCACCAATCAGTGTCTGTCGCATCTAATAATGGACTGTGCTGGGCTGGGCTGGGCTGGGCTGAAGCGGCTCATATGCATGAATTTCCCTCATCTTGTGACTGATATACTGCACTCGGCCCTAAAAAACACTCACCCCTAGAAAAAACATATTGCACTCCGTCCCCTAAAAATAACCATATAGACTAAAAAGACACCCTTGATAATATCGTCGTAAGAAATGTTTGAGTTTTTTCCTTTATCTTTCTTTATGATCCATTTACATAGAATAAAAGGACACCCTTGATAATATGTTGTTCAACAGAGAATGGGCATCGATCCGGCCAAAGACCGCAAGCGATGTAATCCGAAATTGCTCTGACCGCACCCACATCGTTCAATCAAGATCTAAAACTTGTTCATTGAGCGAAATAATGCCGAGCAAACCTGATCGTAATGTGTAGGAAGCGTGGTGCTAATTGCTTAGCCCATGTGTCCCTGCAGAATGACACACGGCAGTTTCAAAGCGTCACCATTCCGTCGGCGGGATCAAGACTTGTGAGTGCTTTCACCAGTAAAATCAACACCGATTGCGAATATCGCAAGTGCGATCAAGAACTTGGTACCGTCTCTATTTGCCTTTCCTTTCGAGAAAGCGCAAAAACTTTGCGTTTCATTGTATTGAAAAGGAGGAGCTTGGTACAATCCTCCCAGGAGGCTGGTTACAAGGCAAGTAGAGGCACATTAGTCAACATCCCAGGTTTGTGGTAGGATGGCGCGTAGCCCTAGGGCCCCTGCTCTGGCCCAAAGTGCAGCCTCGTCCTTGATCACGTCGATCAGTGAGGTGGTCACCCTCGAAGACGCAACCATTGCGATGCTTCCAAATCATCCATGGCTCTATTTGCCTTTCAACACGTGGTTGTAGCAGTCTGCACAATCTTGTGCTAGCTGCTCCGTATCTCTTTGGCACCATACTTGTCATGTACTTCCTCTGTTCCTAAATATAAGTCTTTGTAAAGATTTCACTATGGACTACATACGGAGCAAAATGAGTGAATCTACACTCTAAAATGCATCTACATACATCCGTATGTGGTTCATAGTGAAATCTTTCCAAAGACTTATATTTAGGAACAGAGGGAGTACAAGTCCAACCCCATATTATGCAGACACGTCAAATTTATGGTGTGAGTTTAAATCCACTGCCGAGTTGGATCATTAATTGGGGGCTCTTTTTTGTTTGTGCTTTGTAAAGTTCAGTTGTTGTTGTTTTTTTAGTGGTAAGTTCAGTTGGTAAATAAACATTGCCCATATTTCTATAGAGAAAGAGCAATACTAATACTAGTACGTACATCATTACTGATGAAGTTTGCTTGTCAAATTGCAGCTGCCATTAGAGGAGAATATAAAAATCAGACTTCACCAATTAAGGCAATAGATTCAGAAGAAAAAAAAATCTTTCACTTACTATAGATAGCTTGGTCACTTGGGTATAAGTCACGGAGGAAGATTCAGAGTAACCTGAATTGCCATGGTACCATAATTTTTTTGCAATCAAGCCTATTCTACAATCCTGGAAGCAAAGTTGTTCATTCTGTACATCAGTAACATAAAATTAACCGGAGATGAACCAGCTGGTACGTAGACGTAGTAGAGGCACGGCGCGCAAGAGATAGAAAAGAGAAGAGCAATACCAATACAATACAGCCACCCAGAAGAGAGAAGACTCCTGCCTCCATGGATGGCTGTGTGCATTGCTTTGATGGCAGAGGCTGGGAGTTATCCTCCTTTCCGGAAGAAAATGGAACGCTTCAGACGCCATGAGCTTTGCGCCCTGTTGCGACGCCTCCCCTTTTTCCCTCCACTTGTACCAAGCTCCAACGGTTGCTAATCCAGTAGCAAACATGAAAGAGCAGTGCGCTGGGATCGCAGCTCGAAACATGCCATATTTTTTGGCCTTCTGGATCCCCCAAAGTGTCCCATCAACCCCAACAGTCGCCATGTTCCTTTCCCCACTAGGAAGGAAGAGATTCCTGAAACAACAATCAGCCGAGGTCAATTCACAACTTGTATTGAGCTGGCAAACAGTCTACATGCCCTACAGTACAAGTCCACCTTTTCAGCTCAAACTTTGCTGACCCTCCTTCAGAGTGAAGAGCCCCCAGCCGGTGCCATCCCAAGTTGCCTCTAATTATCTACTACTCCCTCTGTAAACTTTTATAAGAGCGTTTAGATCACTAAAGTAGTAATCTAAACGCTCTTATATTTGTTTACAGAGGGAGTAGACAGGAAAAGATTGTCTATTGATTTCTTGATATTGATGAGGAAAGCTACACCACTTTTCTCATTTGCTGGGACAGCTGAGAAATGATAACTTCACAATGTGCCTAGTGAAAAATACTGAAATTCTTGCAAGGAACCACCTACTAAATAGCTTTTTTAGTGCATCGAAGATTTTCCTGAACTCGTAATATCTCTATGCCAACATGTGGTGTCAACATGACATGAGGATGGAAAATTTCAAAACCGTGCCATCAAGGAATGGTAAGTATCAGTTTCATCAGGAGCTAGCAACGACCAGAAGAAAGAAAGAGCACTTTGATGTGGTTGTAGTTTGGACTATCTTGTGCTGAATCCCCATACGTGGCACCATACCTGTCCATGTTCAAACCCAGCCACTGTTTATTAGACTCATCGATTTATAGTCCTGTTCAATCCCCTGATCTCTCATCATTAGGCTCTCCTCTTCGTGTAAAAGTTCAGTTGGTATACAACCTTGCTGAGTTTGATCTGGAAACAGAAGCAGTACTACATCATCCTCCAGTTGGTGCCGCTCTCCTGGTCGTCCTCACGTCCGCGGTGGTCTTTCCGTCTCTGCTCCATAGAGATAATTGTTATAATTTTCGGGATTAATTCAGGAGCTGTATTTCATTATCAACTTTCAGCACATTGCCTTCAGGCAGTAAGTTCACTAGTGAAGTTTATTTATCTACTCGAAATGGATATGCATAAATGTTGGAGAAATAAATTGCAGAAATAAGAATGATGCTAATCAACTAGCATTTGCACTTGGATTTCATCACCGTGCCTTCAATACATTAGATACTAAATGCATGCTTTAGACTTCAATGTAAAACAGTTTTATCTGCTGACAATGTAAAAATGACACTTCCCTTTTGGCGAACCTATATGAAAATATGCCTATTTTAATACACTAAATTGGACATTTACGAAAACGACAGGAGAATGAAAATCCTATAATCACTGATGTATTTAAGATAAGAAAGTGATTTCTCATCATAATTAGTTAAGACCAGTCCCAGCGTTCTGAAAACATAAAAGAACTCTTGTCATACATATGTTGCTATGATAATGGAAAATGTTGATACTCTTTTCTGTATAATAGTTGTGGCTCTGAAGAGACTGAAGTGAAATCGTAAATAAAAGCTTAGCCTATTAGCTGCTGGCAACTTTTTGGGTATGATAAGTTTCAAGTTCACACATGAAGTTTGAAAGGTTCATGGCTAACGTTCAGCTCTGATTGAAATTCAGAGTTCAGACTTCAGAGTACAAAATTTACATACCGCCGACATTTTACATGCATGAGTGACTTGTTCAGATTGTTTACATCCAAGTGAAGATGCACCAAAATGTAGAAAATTGATTAAAGCACCAGATGCTGCTAGTTTATTCAAAGCTATAGTACAATACTAGAAGGATTACTCAACTTGCAAGATGCAAAAAAGAGAAAAGTAGGAGCTTCCCTGAATAAAACTCATGCATTGTCAGGCCATACTTGTTGCTGAAGCTTCAAGGCGTCATCAACTAACAGAGCCTTCAGAATAATGTATAGTACAGCCAAGCCATTGCCGCCATGTTTCGTCTCGTTTCCTAGAAGAAGAAAAAAAGCACCATCCACATTCAGTAAATCAGCATGCTTCTATTGCCCAGCCCTTCATCTTCTCACCTGGTGGTAAGTCACTTCATCATTCGACCCGTTCCCCTCACCTAGATTTCATTAATCTTGTTTCTACAATTTCAAAAAGCACCAGAGAAGGGACACACAGTTGATCTTTAAATCACATCTCTTCGCCAGTATTAGCATAGACCATCTCCTTTGCCTTACTACAAGTACACACCTGAGATCTCATTTCTTTCAACTACTACAGCCTCACATCAGGAACAAACCAATATATGACCATCCTCACACAGCTTTTTCCTTTTTCGATTACGACTTTCCAGATAGAAATTTGCGAAAAAGGATGGTTCATAAGACCACTTTACTATTGTAAAAAATTATGCCAAGGGATAATGATGTCCTCAGTATCTATGTAGATAGTGCTCATATGGAATAAAATTAGCTAAACGATATGGCAGAAATTAACATGGTAATGTCATGACGCTTTTTAAGGTTGCCATGACATAAGTTTCCTTATTGTATCAAATGCCCTCTGCTTTTCAGCACCATACCATACAAGCATCGATTTGCTTACCTGGTACGAATACCAGGGCACTTGAAATATCTGTTACGTAGTGTATACAAATTGGCAATAAAAGAAATGCTACTAGCCTACTACTCAACTAGCCAGTTTTGAGATCAGATGCCCCAAGAAAAGAATCAGCCATACATGAGACAAATAAATAAATAAACTGATACAAACTACCAGTAAACACAGTACAAAATTAGTGCTTCTTTGTCTCGATAACATCACTAGCAGCAAGTGCTTCTCCATTGTCTCAATAGCATTACTATTTACTAGCATAAAAATGAACAGAGGCACCTAAATTTACTTACTTAAACTTAAATGATGCCAACCCCCCTCCATGTGAGAGTTTGATATTTTCTTTAGAGAAAGTGTACAGATGTGAGCCCTGCACATTTTATCATGCAGCCCAGTAGGTATTTCCAGTATGACCAATGGCTCCAAATCGATACAAATAAAGGAGAACTCACTTCCAGACACTTTCCATAGTTGAATGCATACATATATATATTTGGTTGGTTAGTTAAAGAAAAAGAAAAAAAGGTTGCTATGAATCTTTGTATGAGCAAATCAAATTATTTTTTTATATCAAATCATAATTGAAAAAATATAATAAACTAAAGCCAGGTGAATTAACCTTGGGCCCTAAATAGGAAATGCTAACACACGAGGCAACATCCCCTCCAGCTGCTTCCAAAAAACCTAAATTTGGGACATGCATCAGATTTCTCCTCTAATGATCCACTATGAATTGCAAAAACAGTAGGAGTGCATTAACCACATGAAGGAAACCTTACCTTGGCTCATTGTCTCAATGTACCAGCAGCTAACTTGAATTGAAATTCTAATGTGTTGCATAATGGCCTGAACTCACACTTACTTAGCTCCAATACGAGTGTTTAAAAACATGAACGGTGACAAAAATGTTCATAATCAGTCCATGGTTTCTTCTCTGCTGAATGATGGCATCATATAACAATATTCAGGAACCAAATTATCAGTTTCATCACACATTAGCAACAACAACCCAGCATCTAAGAGACATACAGCAGCGGACAAGCAACACATAGCTATATCATAGCTTGTTCCTGGCTCATGTGAATCTGAAATTAGTCGGCACTTCCCCTTTACAAGCGGCATCATAGTCCTCTTCGAGGTGTGGTGCAGCTTCCTTGTGAGGGTATATGAATTTCTCCCTGAATACCTTGTCGGTCAGCTTGACAATTGTATCGTAGCTTGGGTCACGCCTGAGCAATCCATTTTCCTTGAGAAACTTTACAGCGTAGTACCGGGGCCTGAGCCGGCCCTCCAGGCTGTGACCGAGTATTACCGACCGTTGAGCAATGTAAGCCGGTTGCAAGCCCGCCTCGGAGATGAGGAACTCGGACCTGCGCTGAAGCGATTCCTTGGACCTTCCCAGCACCGTGGGAGCCTTCGAAACAGCAATGCCCACCTCAGCATCCGTCCACCTGAACGTTTTCTTTAAGTAGTCCACTCTGGCTGTGATCTCCTCCTTAGAGAGAAAGGCAACAACATTAAGAGCCCGCCTGAACATCCCAGAGCGACGGGGCACACCTATGTCTTCAGCGCGTGTCACCATCGTCTGGACACGCATCGGGTCGGTGGTGAGCAGCCTCGGTGTTGAGATGCACAACCAGGCAATATCACAATCATCTAGCCCGCACTCTTTCAAGAAAGCCACATTGGGCTTGACCACCCTCTCGAGGCTGTATGAGAAGACATTGCAGAACCTCATAACCCGGAGGAAGGTGTGGGAGGAGCCGACGAGGCCAAGGTAGTAGTGCAGTTTGGAGACGATGGATCTACAACGGAATTGGCGGCCGCTGAGTGAGGCTAGGCGCGCGATCTCAGAGTGCGACAGACCGAGCGCGGTGAGCTCGACGACGACGGGCGCCAGGGTCCTCTCAACGCTGGCGCAGAGGAACATCGGGTCCTTGGCTATGAGGGCGGCGGCGTCGGTGGTGGAGAGACCCAGGCCGGCGAGGAATGAGAGGACGGCATCGGGATTAGCTGGGGACTTGAGGTGGGAGATCTTGGTGGAGACCTTGAGGGCCTGTTCTCGCCTGAGGCCGCAGGTGGAGACGAGGTACTCCTCCGCGGCGAATCCGGCGCTTGGGGAGATGGCGGGCGCTACGGCAGAGGCAGAGAGGAGGCGGCGGAGAGGGGATGCGGGAGAGGTGGCTGGAGAAGAAGAGAGGAGATGGGCGAGGATGGAGCTTCGCAGCCGGAGCATGGCGCCGCGGCGGAGATGGGCGAGGATGCGACGGCGGCGGCGGCGGCGGCGGCGGCGTGGGAATGGGGAATGCGCGACGGCTATTTGGTGGGAGAAGAGAATAGAAGAGATTACGACTGGTACTGTACTATTTGCGTTTTTTTGTTTTTTTGCCTGCGTGCTGCTAGAGTTTTTTTTCTTTTTTTTTCAGGGTGCGTGCTGCTAGAGTTAACAAGATTAGATGATTTTTTGTTTTTGTTTTTTGCGATTACAAGATCTCCTCCCTAGCAAAGATCAACCACAAATCAACCCCTCAAAAAAAATCCAACATAATTTTTTTCCTGCAGAGATTAGGGCTTGCCCACACACGAGGGCTTAGATTAGGGTTTTTGCTGCCTCCCGTCGTGCACCCGCCGGCCTGCCTCATCTACTATGGCCTTAGGGCCATGGAGATGCGGTGGATCCCAGTCTTTGTCGGCGGGAGGGCTCCAAGTTTTCGTAGGGTTTGTGTCCTGGTCGGGAAGGCAAGGCAACGACAGCTTCTTGAAGGTGGAATAATGTTCTCCACGTCTAGCCCTCGTCCCGGTGGTGCTTCTAGCATTGTCGGTAGGCGTGTGGAGATTTTTCTCCGACGAATCTCGTGAAATTCGGTTGGCATTTGTCTTCGGTGGATCTGCTTGGATCTGGTCTTCGTTTGTCTACGCTCGTGTGTTTACAGGTTGGACCCTTCCGATATACGCTTCTCTTCATCGACGACGGTTGTTGTTCTGGTGTGGTGGTCCTCTAGGGCCTTAGCACGGCGACTTCTTAACTGTCTACTACAACAAAATTTGCCCGGCTCTATTTTCTCGTGTATGATGGCCAGTGAAACAACGAGTGAGTTATAACAAGCCGAGCTGGAAGTGTTTTAGACTGTACTGATGTAGAAGAGCATATGTAATCAATCAGATTTTAGTTCCCCTTTGGCGTTTTTAACAAAGCAAACACAAACATAGGCGGCCATACTACACAAAATTGTACTTGTCCTTTACTCATCCTTAGGTGGTGTTTGGTTCGGCTGTGGATTTCTAAAAGCAGCCATGCAAAATCTGCTGTGAAAAAGTTGTAGGCCATTTGGCAAACCAGCTATATGAGTTGTGGCTATGGAGATAAATGTCTGAAATACCCCTAAGAGCTGGGAGATTAGTTGCACGGTTGAAAGTGCAACTAATCCCTGGGTGGTTTTGGTAATTCTTAACAACTTATAGCTCATTGAACTAATGCTCTTTCAAGATGATCATTTCAGAAAGTTCAATGATTGGCATGGCATGGACTAGAGATGTGGAGCCCTCAAAATGCTAAGGACACATATTGGCAACAAGCTCAAGACTCTACATTTTTATTTAAGTGATCCAAGATCACATTAAGTCCATAGGAAAGCCAATACTATTAAAAGGGGATGAGAGTGTTGCTTAATGGCTTTCTTGCTCAAAAAGCTTATTGATATGCTCAAAACCCCTCAACCACTTTCTCATTTCCACATTTGTCCTAAACCTAAAAGTCAAACTCGGCCCTACCGATCTGATCTATCCGGCGCCACCGAGTTCATTTGACATAGCCACTGCCACAAACCCTAGTCACTTCGGTTTCACCGAGATGGGATTGCAAACTACCTGTTTTCTTTTCATAACGTTTCGGTCCCACCGAAATCCCACCGAAATGAGTGAATCGGTCCCACTGAGTTTTCCTGACCAACTCTCTATGTGCCTATTACTGAAATCGGTCCCACCGAGTTCATGTGATCGGTCTCATCGAGATTACGTTATGCCCTAACCCTAGCGCATCGGTCCCACCGAGTTGATTGTATCGATCCCACCGAAAAGCCCAACGTTCATATTTTGACCTGAATCGGTCTGACAGAGTTTTACCATTCGGTTTCACCGAGTTTGGGAATCTCTGTGTAACGGTTAGATTTCATGTGGAGGCTATATATACCCCTCCACCCATTCTTCATTCATGGAGAGAGCTATCAGAACGTGCCTACACTTCCACCATTCATTTTCTAAGAGAGAACCACCTACTCATGTGTTGAGACCAAGACATTCCATTTCAACCACAAGAATCTTGATCTCTAGCCTTCCCCAAGTTGCTTTCCACTCAAATCATCTTTCTACCATAGCCAAATCTATGAGAGAGAGTTCAGTGTTGGGGAGACTATAATTTGAAGCACAAGAGCAAGGAGTTCATCATCAACACACCATCTATTACCTTTTGGAGAGTGGTGTCTCCTAGATTGGTTAGGTGTCACTTGGGAGCCTCCGTCAAGATTGTGGAGTTGAACCAAGGAGTTTGTAAGGGCAAGGAGATCGCCTACTTAGTGAAGTTCTACCCAAGTGAGGCAAGTCCTTCGTGGGCGATGGCCATGGTGGGATAGACAAGGTTGCTTCTTCGTGGACCCTCCATGGGTGGAGCCCTTAGTGGACTCGCGCAACTGTTACCCTTTGTGGGCTGAAGTCTCCATCAACGTGGATGTAAGATAGCACCACCTATCGGAACCACGCCAAAAATCTCCGTGTCAACATTGCATTTGCTCCCTCCAAACTCCTCCCATTTACTTTCTTGCAAGTTGCATGCTTTACTTTCCGCTGCTCGTATACTCTTTGCATGCTTGCTTGAATTGTATTGTGATTGCTCGACCTGTGCTAAGTTGCTAAAATTGCCAAGAATTAAAATTGGGAAAAGGTTATGTTTTTATTTGGTCAAGTAGTCTAATCACCCCCCCCCTCTAGACATACTTTCGATCCTACAAGTGGTATTAGAGCTTTAGTCTCCATTTGCCTTGATTTCCATAGCTTTGGTGATCATAGCCTTGGTTTCACAACCCAGGAGAGTATGGCGTCTAGCGAGGGAAATTACCACCTTAGAGGTCCTTACTTTCATGGTACTAATTTTGCTAGTTGGAAACATAAGATGGAAATGCATATTCTTGGACATAACCCCGCCGTTTGGGCTATTGTGTGCATTGGTTTGCAAGGTGAATTCTTCGATGAGAGAGAACCGAATCGTGAAGCTCCCGCGGAAGAATTGGAGATGTTGCAATACAATGCTCAAGCTTGCGATATCCTCTTCAACGGACTGTGCCCCGAAGAATTCAACAAAATCAACCGCCTTGAGAATTCAAAGGAAATTTGGGATACTTTGATTGATATGCACGAAGGTATCGACTCCGTCAAGGAATCCAAGTTGGATGTGCTTCAAAGTCAACTTGACAAGTTCAAAATGAAGGATGGTGAAGGTGTCGCTGAAATGTACTCTAGGCTTGCTCTCATCATAAATGAGATTGCCGGCTTAGGAAGTGTAGAGATGACCGACAAATTCATCATCAAAAAGATCTTGAGAGCCCTGGATGGAAAATATGATACCATGTGCACTTTGATCCAAATGATGCCAAACTACAAAGATCTCAAACCAACCGAAGTCATTGGAAGAATTGTTGCTCATGAGATGTCACTCAAGGATAAAGAAGAGCTTCACAACAAGTCTAGTGGTGCTTACAAAGCCTCATGTGATGCTCCTACATCATCAAGTGAGAAACAAGCCTTCAATGAAGAATTGACCTTAATGGTGAAGAACTTCAACAAATTCTACAAGAGTAGAAGCAAGGAAAGAAGTTCCAAGTCAAGGTCCTACAATGAAAAAGATCTTCTAGTCATGAGCGAAATTGCTACAATTGTGGAAGACCCAGACACTACTCCAATGAGTGTATGGCTCCCTACAAAAGAAGAGAAGACTCACCTAAAAGGAGAAGCAAAAGGGAAGAATCACCTCCAAGAGAGAGAAGGAGTAGAGATGATCGCTATGAACGAAGAACCTCTCGAAGAAGCAAGGATTCGGAAAGGAAGGACAAGTCATCAATGGGCTACACAAAACGAAGACATCAAGCTCATGTTGGTGAATGGGTATCCGGCTCCGACTCCGACCACCACTCTGGGAGAAGTTATCACTCCGACTCCGAATATACTCAAGATGAAGGTGTTGCCAGTCTAGCACTTGTGTCAACCAACTCCTATGACATATTTGATTCACCAAATGAAGGAATTGGAAGATGCTTCATGGCTAAAGGCCCCAAGGAAACACACCCCGAGTATGTTGATTTCAATAGTGATGAAGATGACTTGCTAGGTGATGATGATTTACTTGTTGACAACTCTAGTGATGAATACTATGATGAAAATGCCATTAATCATGCTAATCAAGATGAAACGAATGACAATGATAAGAAGAAGATTGAGCGTCTAACTAAAGAACTTAACACTCTTAAGTTAGCTCATGAAACTACTTTAGAAGATCATCGAGAAATTTTAAAAACTCATGAGAAGCTACGCTTCAAGAAGCTCAATCTTGAGCAAGAACATGGGGTTTTAAAAGCCATCAATTATGATCTTCGAAAGAAAAGTTATTCTTACATTGCTAAGCGTTTACTCTTGTCTACTTACATGATGCCACAAGTAAAATCTAGCAACAAGGTCAAGAAAGATTCTTCTTCTAGTAGTAACAATAATCATGATAAATCCAATATTGTTGCTTCTAGTAGTTCTCTTGATTCCACTAATGATTCTCTTAGTCAAGTTACACCTGAGCAAGAAAATAGTTTATTGAAGGGAATAATAGAGAAAGGTGTTTACAAGAGCCTTGCCGGAAGTAAGCAATTTGAGGAAATTGTACGCAAGCAAGGAAGGCACCAGAAGAATCAAGGTGTTGGTTTTGAACGAAAGTTCAATGCCAATGGAGTTGAGTGGGAAGAAGATCAATACCCCAAGACAAAGTTTGTTCCTCAACAAGAGAAGTATGATCCTACTTCCTTCAAGGGGACACAAGCTCAAGATGATTTTCCACCACAAGACCATAAGCTAAAAGGCAAGGACATGCTTCAAGAGGAGATTGATGCATTTGAAGATGCTCCAAAGGCCTTGGTCAAGTGGGTTCCCAAGACTACATCAAGTTCTACTTCATCAAGTACATCTACAACCCCAAGTATTCCC